TTTTTGGCCTACGGCCTTCGAATTTAAAAAAAATTTTCGCCTGCGGCGCAAAAAACTGAATTTTTTTGGCCTACGGCCATCTAAAATTAAAAAAATTTTCGCCTGCGGCGCTGAAAATATAAAAAGTTATGTACAAAAAAATTTGTCGTAGGAACGCCAAGGTGAACGCCAAGGTAAACGCCAAAAATTTTTGCGCCCACCCAGTGTTAGCCCCCCCCGAAACCGACCCCCTGGATACGCCCTTGCTAGTCTGGACCATTTAAGGAAATCTAGAAAATCTTTTTAAAAATTTCTGACATCCTGCAAATTGAAGGAGAGGAAAAAGGAAAATGACTTCCCTCACCAAGGCTACCCAATTTCTTCCAAAATTAATCCCGTTCCTACACGTACTGTTAGAAATAAATGTTTAAAAACCTTGTTGTCCATTAGAATCCGTAGTAGTAGTATTTGAAACATTTCGAAACAATCCATGTGAATTATTCTCCACAAAATTATTTTTAGTATTATTCCCTCCATCAAAACCACCACAAATATTATGCCCACCAAAATCATTATTATTATTTGATCCATAATTCATCATTATTGTCATTCCAGGTGGTGGTTGCATTGGTGTGGATGTACTAGACATCATTTCACGTTCAGCTAGCAAAGCTTGTGGGGCCTGAAAAATAATTAAAAAATAAGAGAAACTTGCGGATATACAAAATTTTCGGATTTTTCCCTGAAAATTTTTTTCCAGCCCAGCTGGAAGATTCGGTTGGTATGCAGTCATATACTATAACGACGTAATAGCAAACTCCAAAAACCGTCGAAATGCCAAACGGCTTTTTTGACAACAGAGGGTATTGTTCCAACAAAATCATTTCAACAGTTTGGCATTGCGATGACTTTTGAAGGGTTGGCTTTTCGGCATTTTAGCATTAAGACTCGCTATGGATTCGGTTAGATCGGCCCAACTAATAAGGATAAGAAATGACAAAAATAATAACAAAAAACCTGATATTCCGCTGGAAAATGTAAAACTTCAGTAGCAGAACTAGGCAAACGTCCTGTCCGCTGATTTTTGCTGGTCAAATTTTTTCCATTATTTCCAGGAGGTAGATAACGTGAATAATTTGTTGAACGTGAAGAATGAAAGTTTAAAAGAGCGTTTTGTTGTTGTTGGGAAATGTTGTGTAGTTTTTGTTGTTTTTGGTCACGGTTACGGCGATGAGGGCTTGTTGGTGAACGACCTGAGAAATTAATAAAGAAAATCTAAATTTTGACTTCGAGACAATGTTTTGTAGTTCAGGAGACAAAGCCTAGGAAGTTTTTTTTGATTTTCCAGGAATCCAAATTGAGGATCCCGTCAAGCCAAAGAATCGGGATACCAGAACCGTTCTAGGGCAAATGAAGTTGGCCCAAGAAGAACCAAGCAAAGGAAGCTTTGTAAGATTTTTTCTGCAATCAAGTTCAAAGATCCCAAACCAAATGAGTGGGAAATCAGAACCATGTCAAGGTAGGTGGGCCAAGAAACACTAAATAAGGTAAAGAATCCGGTCCAAAGTCAAAAGAAAAAATTCGAAAAAATAACTCCTAGGGGAAAAAGGTCCAAAAGCCCCAGAATTTCCCAAAAAAAATTTAAAATTTAAAAAACCTGTTCGCCTCTTCTCCCCAGACGTCCCACACTCTTTAAGTATTTCCTGTCTCCACAATTCAAAAAAATAGCCAGGATCTGTGTAATAACGAAGAGCTTCTTTTTCATCTTCTCTATAAGGATTTAATTCGTTTAATTCTGGAGGTGGGTCGCATTGTTGATATTGCTCTTGTAGAGAAGTTGGCAATGTTTGTCTACTTAGAGAGTGCTGGTCAATTATATTACAGCTTTTAAAGGCTTTGCGTAATGCTGCTTCTTCCAAATTAGCTGAAATTAAATTTTTGTCAAATAGAGTAGATTTTGTGGAAAATGAACCCTGACGTGAGCTTAAATATGTCAAGAAAAAAAACAAAAAAATATATTCTGAATAAACTCGCAAGATCATCAATATTAAAAAAAAAGGTTAGGAAAAGGGTGACCCCTCAAAAAAGAAGCTAAACTAACAATAAGGTTGGTGGTTAAGGATATCCGGAGCCGAAATAAGTCAGGATTAGGGTTAAAGGTCCCTAGTAGTGATCGAGATTTTTGAAATGCCTGGGCCCGTTTCCGGATTTGATTTATTAACATGGGCCGGATCTTAAGCCTGAAGTTCAGGAAAAACACAAGAAGGTCAGAAAATGCCTGGGCCTAGACTCTGGGTACAGGAAAAACCCAGAACTTGGTCCTGGTCCAGCTCGTTCACTAGTCCTTAGCGCATACCCAAAACTGATAACAAATTCATAACAGGACTTTCCCCGGTTCTGAAAAATTGGTAAAGCCACACTGTCCGGAAATTGAAAGGTTCAGTTCGATCAACCCAACAATAAGTATCTCTAGTTCAAATAAAGGTTCCGTATATTTTCCTAGAAATCACCCAACATGCCCTGAATAAAATAAAAAAATCAGCTTACTCTGGTCCAACGAATTTTGTGATTGTTGAGCAACTTTTTGAGCTAACCTTTCAACACGTAAAAATAGAGTGTTTGTTCTATGATCAATTTTTAATACTTCCCTGTGGATATCAGAAAATATTTGTTGAGCATGTCGACTTAGCGAACTTAATTGTCTTATTAAATTTGCAAATGTTCCGTTTGTAATGCATTGAAGTTCGTCTTGTTTGACAGAATCGGGGAGTCGATGAAGCGATAAATTTACTGGGGAGACTGAGCGAGTTGTTAAAGGCATTGGAAAATAAGGCCTGAAATGATTAAAATTTAAGAGGGTACAGCCCAAGTAGGCGCGCGGCCATAACGGCGCAATGCCATAACTTGCTTCAAGATTTCCGAATCTTAACAAATTTAGTATTAAACGATTCTTCTCATCGAGCTAAAGAAATTGGTTCCAAAATTGATAAGTGCCAGAAATTTTCCAGCAAGTTATGGCTTGCGCCGTTATGGCCGCGCGCCTACTTGGACGTATCACAATTTAAAATTTAAAAAAATTAAAAAAAGGAAAAGAAAAATGAAAAGAAATAAGACTCAAATGCTCTTACAAAAGTTACCACTTTAAAATTTAACTCTGATTCTCTAACACTTATTCTACGGCTCCCATACAAAATCTCTATTCCTTAAAATCGCTATTCCTTAAAATCTCTACTAGGGTAAAAATACTTAAAATCTCTATTCCTTAAAATAACTATTCCTTAAAATCTCTACTGGGGTAAAAATAATTAAAATCTCTACACCGTGCAAATGGACGGTAGAGTCTCAACAAAAGTGTAAAATATGAACTATTCATTGGAAAACCCAGATTGGTAATGGATACGGATACAATTTGATTTAAAAATGGCTGCGGATATCTGCTTGTATCCGCTGTAAATATCGAAGATATAATACACGACTGCTTCGCTGCGGTCGTGTTCATTTTGCTTGCGGTGATCGTATCGAAGCGGCTGCTGTCGTTCCGCTGGACATGCCTGGGTTCATCCGCAGCGGCAAAAACAATACAAGCAAAATAATATCAAAAGATAAGCCAGAAATCAGAACAACGTTTCCGCACTTAACGTTGGCACTCAAAAGGCTTCCGAATGAAAAAATAGACATTTTATCCTATTTTTGGCCGTGTAGAGATTTTAAGGCATTTTACCCTTGTAGAGATTATGAGGAATAGAGATTTTAAGGAATAGTTATTTTAATCATTTTTAGCCGAGTAGAGATTTTAATGCATTTTAGCGGTGTAGAGATTATAAGGCATTTTAGCCCAGTAGAGATTTTAAGGAATAGAGATTTTGAGGGGATACGTATTCTACAATTTCTCTCATCTACACTTTTTCTCTATCCACACTATTTCGTTTAATTAAATTTAAATTTTTTGTAGAGTAAAAAAGACGTTAGAGTCTGAACTTATTTTATTTTTTATTTTTAACGTTTAGCACAGTTTATAGGATATTTTTTACAGTTTAAGCTAAACTTTTTTAATTTTTATCAGACGTTTTAAAATTCTAATTTTCGGTTTGGCAAATAAAATATTTAAGTATTAAATTAATTTTCTCGCTAAAAATTTTATTTTCGCTGTAATACAAAATATAATTTTTTTTATTCTATCGATTTTAGCTACGTGGAAGAAGATTTTTTTCTGGTTAGACTGAACATTTTCAGTGACTAATTTTCTCAAATTGACGCTAATTCTCTTAACTAAATTTTAAAATTATTATTTTTTTTATTTTTTAGAGATTCTTTTGTGTTCTATTGACTATATTTTCTTTGAAGTTTCACAAATTTAAAAACAAAATTTTATAAAATGGCTGCTTCTGGTTTTAGTGTTTATGGTGATTAAAAGTTTTATACATTTGTGGGAAAATAAAGGAAAAAAATTTGGTGTCATAATAAATAGATGGGCTAAATTTTTAGTTAAAAATATAGTGTGATGGAGAAATAACGAGAGGTTTTTGCTTGAATGTCTCTATGACGTCATAAAATCAAAAACACAATCACAGATGAGACTGGTCAGTGTCATCCCGGTAGAAACAGAGAGCAGAAAATAATTTTTAAGGTATGTTTGTGTGTATGTGAAATGCTCAATTTTTGTTGTAGAAATGAGTTGAAAAAGAATATTCTCTTTAATAAATTGGGAAATTCGGTCATACAACATCTGCAGACAGGCCTCCGAGAGGATGTCGGTAGACGTATCACACTCCGAAAATTTTCAACTCATTTTTCTTTCGTATTAAAAACATTTGATTATTGCATTCACTATAGAGCTATTTTCATCTGCTACCTCTTAATTTGACTATGAGACCATGAGAGTTAACTTCTTTGACTATGAGAGAACAAATAAAAATATTTAAAAGGGCTTAAAAACACTTAACATCTACAAGTTAATTTAATCTCATTAAATTTCAGTTGGAAACATTCCATATAATACTACAGAGAATGATATTGGCAATATGTTTTCGTCATGTGGTGTTGTCACCAACGTCCAGTTAGTTTCCATGTTTTTTTAGAAAAATTGTAATTGTGGTGTAGTGGGTTAATTTCTTGTCGGAGGGTTTTAGGGGTCGTGGGTTCGAACCCCGTTGGGGTAAATATTTTATTTCTTAGGCGTATAATATATCATTCGACGCGTTTCGTCGCTCTGAGTCCGATAGAATCAAAATTAATACGATTTGAAGCTTCCTAACAAAATTATAATCTAATTTTCTAGCATAGTCATTGATCGCAACACCAATCGTTCAAAAGGATTTGGTTTTTGCGAATTTCAAGACCAACAAGGAGCAGAAAATGCTGTTCAAAAAATGAACGGAGTTGAGATGAATGGACGACCATTGCGCGTTAACTGGGCTAACAGCAAGTAGATTTAAGAATAAAATTGGAAAGAAATGTGAGAGAAGAGATTGTTACAAAATGACAGTTAAAAAATTAATTATGATTAAGCAAATATTTGTGTAATAAATATTTTCGGCCATCTTATGGTGTGTAATTGGTAGCCTTTCAAGTTAAAAAAAATTTTTCCTTCAAAATTTTGGGCAATTTTTCGTTCTTAAGAGTCAAACTTAGTGGTTCCCTTTTTCTTTAGAATCTAAGAATCTGAGATTAGCTTTATTAAAATCACATGTATTTTAGCAATGAGTTTCAAAATTTTTAGTTCTTTTTAAAAATTATTCTTAAGGATTCTTTCCTTTTCCTCTAAAAAGGCGATTACTCATCTTTTCCCTCTTAAACTTGTACACGATTTATGGCAGTACTTATCCATCTTATCACCCCACATTCCATCAGAACAGAGTCCGCTTAACGCCAATTCTTCACAATTAAGTCCAATATCAACATTCAAAGTCCCCAACAGATCACAAGTATCTAAATTTATTAGACGTGACATTTGAGTCTGAAAGAGAGTACTTGTGTAGTTTACCCCCCATAAGCCTCGCCCCTTTTTCTTCTCTTCTCCTCTTTAAAAATGACATTTGGGTCAATATTTGCTTTTTTATTTATGATAGTCTTAAAGAAAGCAAAGGAGAAAAAGGGGTGGAGCTTATGGGGGGTAAACTGCACAAGCCTCCGAAAAATTTTTTAAAGAACCTTTACAGTGAGTAGTCATTTCCGTCATATATTCTTCAATATAGCATCGATGGATATATTTTTTACAAAAAGTTGAAGTGTATCCATATGTTAATTGTTCTCTTTCTTTTGATCTCCGCTCATATTTGTCTTCAGGTGATTCAGAAGATTCAGACTCTTCAACTAGTTTAGGTCCACTCTCGTCGGAATTTTCTTCGGGTTCCACTAGAAATTGAAAGGTTTGACTTTAGACAGTCACTGGGTGAAGGCTGAATAACTAGGAAGTACCCAAGGGCTTGGGAAATTTTTTTAGAGGTACAGGGATTGGACTCTCGATTAGTAAAAACTCTCTTCCCTTTGGGGTAATAACTAAATTTTTCAAAAAAATTTTTTCTCGTAATTTTTTACTAACCTAGCCTTATTCTCATTTGCGAGAAAAAAAATTAAATTTAATTTACCCCTATTTTGTCTTGAACGTTTATCTTCCTCCTCCTCTCTATTTCTCTCTCGTCTCTCCTTTTCCTCCTTTCTCTCTCTTCTTCTTTTCTCATCCGCTTCCGTTTCCGGCCAATGAACTGTTTTTTCACTTGGCAATTCTTCCGAACCGACAGGTGGACGTTTAACAATATCTGGACCATCTTCAAATTGTGCTTCTGATGAAGCTGAGGAATCTACTGAATTGCTATGGCTATTTATCCCTTCATTTCCTTCATTTACTTTTGCTTTTTCTTTTGAAATTTTGCCTTTTGAGGCTTGTTTAGTTTCTTTTTTAGTTTTTTCCTTTCCAGCCTTTTCTTTCTTTTCAGCTTTTCCAGGCTTCTTTTTCTTTTCTTCTAATTTTTGGAATTAATAAGGAAAAGCTTTAGCATATCCCCTTCTCCCATAAAAATCTCTTAGATACCCCATACCTTTAGGTCAAAAGTCATTTCGTCTCTCACTTATCACACCTTGTCTGGTCCACTCTCAAGTATCCCTATCCCTGAAACATCTCTTATAATGGTTGATAAGTCAGAGATTCCTTCATCTCCCACATATCACACCCGGTCTATCCCACTCTCACTTATCCCTATCCCTGTGACATTTCTTAAGGGTGTAAGTAAAAAATTATTTACTCACACACCACTCCCAACCTCTCAAGTATCCCTATCCCTGGGACATCTCTTCTAATGGTGTTGTTAAGTCAGTAAGTTTGTGTGGTATCTCAGAGATTTTTAGAATATTACCCTTTATTTTGGGCCCATCCTCATTCTCTTTTCCTTTATCCTCTTCAATTTTAGGCTCTTTCTGTTCTTCTTCAGTTTCTTTTGTGGGGGTCTCCCCACTTTCTTCATGTTTCGGCCCTTCTTCTTCCCCCTCTTTTTCTTCTTTTACATGCTCCTTTGGACCATCTTCCCCTTCTTCCTCTTTTGTTTCTTTACTGTTTTCAGTTGCTTCCCCAGAAGGTTGTTCAGGTCCTTCATGATTTTCTGCAACTTCCTCTTCTTCAGGCTCGGCATCTCCAGGGCCTTCTAGTTAAGAAAAAGAGAACAAACGTTATTTTCAAAACTTGGATGTTTCATGTTTAATTATTTAAAGTTTATTTTTTTGTTTCAAGTTAAGTTTTGTTTCAAGTTTTAATTTAAATAAACTTTGTCATGTTTGTTTCAAGTTTTTTTTATTTCTGCTTCAAGTTTTACATAATTTATTCCTTCAAATTTATTTTTCTTTCTTGATCCAAGTTTATTTCCACATCCAAGTTTTATTTTTCTTTTCTGCTTCAAGTTTATTTATCCCCCGAGTTTTCTCCCCCACAACATGTTTTTCCCTTAAACTTGCTTCAAGTTTTTATTTTTTTGCTTCAACTTTTTTTTTGCTTCAACTTTTCATTCTCCCATAAAATATTAATTAATTCTCCTTACCTTTTTCAACAGCCTTCTCAACAAGCTTCTCTTTAAATTCATCCAACTCTAAATTAATTTTATAAATCTTTTTTTAATATTAGAAGCAACTTTTTAATGCTTCATCTTTGTCTTCTTCATTTTCAGTTGCTTCAATTAATTGTTTAACCGTCTCATAATTATTTTCCAGATCCTCTCTAGTAAATTTTTCACCCTTTTTTAAGTGAAATACTTTGTAAGGGTCTTGTGTATTTTTTAATAAATTAATTACATCAACTTTAAATTTATTTTGGTTAAAAAAATATTGAAATTTTAATAAAAACCGTTGTCTACATCCAATCCAGCAACCAGAAAAAAATTAAAAATAAAAATTAAATTAAAATAAAAATTCAATAATATTTTTGGTAGCATGAAAAAGAGAAAAAAAAATTAATTTTAGAGAGATTTTAAAAAAAATTTTCTTTTATGGAAATTAAAGGTGAAGCAAAATCTGCTTCTGTTTGTTTATGCAGCTGTAAGCAAAATTTAAATAAACTTGAAACGCAAATCAGAATATTTTTTGTATTTTTTCTGTGTTTTAATAACAAGTTTTAAGACCAGAATATTTTTATTGGAGAATTAAATCAGAATATTTTTTGTGTTTTGTATTTTCCAGAAAGAATAAATTCTGATATTGCTCTTTAAAAATACAAAATTTTATTCTGATTTAAGTTTGTGTTTTATTTTGTTTTCCGGAAAGTTTAATTCTGATTTTATTTTATATTAAATAAACTTGTTCTGATTTTATTAAACAAGTTTGTATTTTTGTAAATTCTGAAATTCTGATTTTTAGATAATTCTGATTTTAAATAATTCTGATTTTATAATTCTGATTTTTAAATAATTCTGATTTTATAATTCTGATTTTACATAATTCTGATTTTTATCATTTTTTTTATTCTGAAAATAATTCTGATTTTCAAGTTTTATTAATGTGTTTCAGAAATATCAAAAATACATGAAACAGAATAAATAAACAAATGTGTTTTAAGCCGTATTAAACGCCTAGGCGCGCCTTTATAATGTTCATATAAACAAATGTTTTTTAATCTAAAAATACAAAACAATGCTCACACTTGTACTAGAAGATTAGTATCTTTATTTTTACAAAATAAATAATTTTTGAAGATAAAATTATTTTTATATATTTTTAGTTTATTGTTGCCATAATTCTTTTAATTTTCTTAAGTATATTTATAAAGGGGATTTATGTATTTCTCTTGAGAAATAGGCTAAAAATAATTAGACTAAAAATAGGCAGAAGAATGTTTTTTTAATTTTTTTGGGAAAATACTGGGAGACTTTAAATTATTTTTAAAATAACTTTTATCTTTTTAAATTTATTAAATAATTTTTCAATTTTAAATTTTGCTCCAAAAAAATCAATCTTTGTCCTGAACCTTTTTTAAAAAATTCAAAAAATTTTTAATTTTTCAATCCATTTTTAATTCTCTCCCTTTAAGCAACTTTAATTTTTAGTTTTTAATTTTTGACAGCTAACTAAATATTTTAATACAATTCTTTATTACCTTGACAACTTGCTTCAGATTTTTAATAAAATGGTAAAAATTAATTTAAATTAGTTTAAAATAAAATTAAACTTTTCCGGAAAATACAAAAATTAATTCTGATTGTTGAATAAACTCATGTTTTAATTAAATATTCTGATTTTTGTATTTTTTTGTATTTTAACTGTTAAATTATTTTTAAGTTTCCGGAAAACACACTTACTTATAGAAATCAGAATTAAATTTAAAACAAAATCAGAATTAATTTTAAACAAAATCAGAATTAAATTAAAATATTTATTAACTTGTTTTAATTTTATTCTGATTTTTATTACGTTGTGTTTTAATTAAAGTTTTGTGTTTTTCTGATTTAACAAGAATCCAAAAGGTTTTAATTTTTGTGTTTTTCCGTATTTTTATTGTATTTTCTATTTAAAACTTATTCCGGTTTTCTTTCTTTTTGGCGTTTACTTCTCTTAAACGCCAATGCACATTTTAGCTATTCTTTCGAGAATGGCACTTTTTTTATTTTTTCTCTTTTTTTCTTTTTTTTTCACGTCTCTTCTCATTTCATTTTTTCATTCCCTTGGCAGTTTCCAGCTTTATTGACAACTCAAAGTGCAAGCAGAGAAAAAGCAGTCAATTCAAGCGAACGCTTTTTGTTGGGGTATAATCATTATAACGTCAACGACACAAAAATTAGGTAAACAACTACCGTATTTACTCTTTTATAGCCCCCCTCTCAATTAGAGCCCCCCTCCTTAATAAAGCCCCCTTTTCGAGCATGGTTGAAAAATAGAGCCCCCCGTCTCTATTAGAGCCCCCCTCTTTAACAGAGCCCCCCTTTTTGTCAAATGTCAAATAAAATAATTTAAACAAAAATGTTGTTCCCGTTCCCCAGTCCCTCGTTATAGTCAGAGTCGCGCATGTTTCAATACTGTGTGAATAACACAGTTTATAAAAAATAGTTAAATCGTACGCAATGGGGGAATATAGAGAGCTCTTCCCTATAAGACTCGTGTATTGGCCAGCTGACAACTCTTTTGATGAATGAAAAAGTGATTTCCCTTTGCATATTCATTTAGGACGTACTTGTAGGCACCAGGAACGAGAAAAATTACCGATTTCGTGAAACGAAATCGGGACGGCTCTTTCCCTGATATTCACCAAATACTTTCCAATCGCTGTCCCAAGGATAAGTTAGTTGTGATGTTAAGCTTAGATAATGGGTATTATTCCCCATTGCGTACGATTTAACTATTTTGTTATAAAATTTATTATTTAATCCCTCATTAATTCCCAACCTGTTAACCCAATTAATAATAAATAAATTAAAATAAATGACTCATACATATCACTCCTGATCCTTGAAGCCCCTGATCTTCCAGATTACATTATTTCCTTCAGTCCTCACAAATTCCTAGATATACTTCGTACTCCACATTCCTCAACAATGGAATTCCAAAAATAATGGACTAATTAAATGTTATCCTTTATCCAAAAGTACATAAAACCTTAGCTTTATAACTTTTGGAGAAAAGGAAAACTGTTGCATGCATTATCATGCAATACTTATCTTGTTTTTGTGCTAAAATTACAATTGATCTTAAAAGTTAGAAAGTCTATAAATTGAATGAAAAACCTGTTCCTATTTTAAAAATAGGTTGAAAAATACAGCCCCCCGTCTCTATTAGAGCCCCCCTCCTTAATATAGCCCCCGTTTGGAGGAAGGTTGAAAAATAGAGCCCCATGGGGCTCTAATAGAGTAAATACGGTATGTAATAATTGGGGACAAATATGGCGGGAAATAAAAATAAATGATTTTGAAATACTAAAAATTAAAAACTAATTAAAAATATTAAAAAATAATTTTTAATATTTAAGCTTTAATTTCAATCTTTTGCTTCAACCTCGAATTTTCTACAACACTACAAAGATGTCTAAAGGACCGATTCTGAAACAAAACACAAACAAGTAAAGAATAAGTTTATTTTTAAAAATTAAAATCAGAATTTATTCTAAACAATAAACTTTCCGGAAAACACATTTAAAATAAATAAAAATACAACCGGAAAGTTATAATTATTCCGGAATGTATTTTTTTGAATATTTTTGTATTTTCTTTTGTTTTCCGGAAAGTTTATTTTAAATATGTAAATCAGAATTTAAAGAAAAACACATTTCCGGAAAACTTTACAAACTTTTCCGGAAACAAAGAAATAAACATTTATAAAAACAGAATTAAATTCAAACATGTTTATTAAACTTGTTTTAATTTAATTCTGGTTTTTATTAGACTTGTGTTTTAATTAAAGTTGTATTTTTTCCGGAAATGTATTTTTGCAAATTCTGAAATACAAAACTTATTCTGGTTTTAATATTTTGTATTTTTTTAATTCTGAAAATATTAAATTTTTCTCTCCTTTTCAGCGTTCAAGTTAACTCAACTGATAATAGTAGGTATATTTTAATTTTTTTTCAAAAATATTTTTGACTTTAATTATATTTTAGGGGCTTCTTCGAAAATGGGTAAAAACAATATTTATTTTTTAATTTTTTAAAAATAATTTTAGTGGATTTTTACAGACAATTGAGCCTTTTTACAATGGGTGGGTTTATTTGATAAAATCAGAATTATTTTTTATTTTAATTTTAGAGGCTTCAACAAATTTGTTAACGGGTAAATTTTAATTTTTATTTTCAAACATATTTTTTTTAAACTTAAATTTTAGAGGCTTCTTCGAAAATGGGTAAAAACAATATTTATTTATTTTTAAAAATTTTTTTTAAATAATTTTAAGAGGGTTTTCTCAGACAAGTGAACCTTTTTACAATGGGTGGGTTTATTTAAATTTAGAAATCAGAATTATTTTTTTAACTTTAGAGGCTTCAATAAATTTGCTAATGGGTATATTTAAAAAATAAAAAATTTTTTAAAATCATTTTTAGTAAAAATTAATAAAAAAATTTTTAGAGGATTTGAGGCACTTTCTGAAACTTCCAACAAAATTACTACCAATGAAGAAAATATAGAGGAGAGCAATAATGAAGAAAATATTGATGAGTCTATGTAAGGAAAATAAATTGGAAGAAAAAATGAAACGAAAATTTTAATTTTTAAAAATTAATTTTAACACTTAAATGTACCCAGATATTTAATTAACCTTTTTTTTCAGAATTTTAATCTTAAAGTTTTGTATTTCTTATAATTCTGATTTAATCTTAAAAATAAACTTTTATGAAAAAAGGTTTCAGAAATTTTAATCAGAACAAGTTTTAATAAAATCAGAATTTAAATAAAACACACATTTCCGGAAACACACAAACTTATTCCCAACCAGAATAAGTTTTTATTTTTAAAACAAAACCAGAATTAATTTTGAACATGTTTCTTCTAAATAAAAATCAGAATTAAATTCAAACACGTTTCTTCTAATTAAAAATCAGAATTAAATTCAAACATGTTCTCTTCTAAATTAAAAATCAGAATTAAATTCAAACATGTTTATTTTAATTAAAGTTTTTCAGAACAAATTTTGTATTTTTGTAAAATATATTTTCAGAATTAACAAAAATACATTTCAGAAAAACATTTAAATCAGAACTCCAAAACACATTTAACAAAAATACATTTTTATCCAAAAAATATTCATTTAAAATCCTACAATAAATCCAAAACAAAAATTAATTATTATTTTAATCTTTCCCATGCAAGAATTTGGAAAGAAAATCTTTCGGTTTAGGCTCAATATTCTCAGCAAAGAGCATATTACGCACATGGTATTCATTGTAGAAGAAATATTTTAATGCAACGAGATGCTGGCGAGCTTCTGAAAAATACAAAGTATTTTTTGAATATAAAATAGTAAACTTTCCGGAAAACACATTAAAAATAAATACAACCGGAAAGTTATAATTATTCCGGAATGTATTTTTTTGAATATTTTTGTATTTTCTTTTGTTTTCCGGAAAGTTTATTTTAAATATAAAAATCAGAATTTAAAGAAAAACACACTACCGGAAAACTTTACAAACTTTTCCGGAAACAAAAATAAAACATTCGTAAAATCAGAATTAAATTCGAACATTAATTTTAGACATGTTTTAATTTTATTCTGATTTTTATTAACGACCTTTTGTTTTCCAGAAAGTTTAAATAAATCAGAATTTTAAGAAAACACACATTTCCGGAAAGTAAAGAAATACAAAAATATTCTGGAATATTACTAGAAAACACATCAGAAATAAAACTTGGAAAATATTAAATAAAAAAACACACATTTTCGGAAAACTTTAAAATAAATAAATTACATAATAATTTTACCTTCAACTTTTCTATCAATAATTCTAACATCTTGTATATGAGCATTTTTCATAAATTCTTTTTTCAAAACTTCACGGAATACAGGCAACGGAATATCTTGAAGTTCTAGAAAAAATTTATATTTTAAAATATTTAGAAATATTTTGCGGACTAAATTTGCGGACAAAAAAATTTTGCGGACTAAATTTGCGGACAAAAAATTTTTTGCGGACAAGAATTTGCGGACAAAAAATTTTTTGCGGACAAGAATTTAACCCAAAAAATTTTTCCTATTAAAAACCCTTTAAATTAAAATTTTTAACTAAAAAATCCTTCAAAAACTCACTATAATCCCACCAATGTTGCTTAGCTACACGTTGAAATTGTTTATACATTTTTAAAACATTTAATTTTGCTTCAACCAAATCTTGAGAAATTATTGGCCTAACCATACGAGAAACAGCTGCGCCAGTATTTGAAGTTGACATTTTTTAGAAAACGAAAAAAAATTCTAAAAATTTTCTTAAAATTGAAAAAAAATTTTTTTTTAATTTGCGGACAAATTTTGCGGATTTTATTTTCTTGATTACGTAGAGGATAAACTCCACAAAATACTTGTTTGTTCAACAAAACAGCATTCTACCACGTCTTTAAATTTAAAAAAAATCTTAAAAGTCCGCAAAAAAAAATCGGCGACAATATAAAATCCGCAAAAAAAAATCGGCGACAATATAAAATCCGCAAAAAATAAAAATCCGCAAAATCAAACAAGAATTAATTAAATGATAAATAAATAAAAAAAAATATGTACGAACTTAAATTAAACAAATCGTTCAAAAAATCAAAGAAAAATTTAAAAAAAAATTAAAATTTATTTAATTTTAACCACAAGACGGACAAACTTGTAAAGATTCGTGTAAAAGAATATCACATTCTATACAAAATTGTGCATTACAATTTTTACAAAAATAGGCTTTAATTGAAGCAAATAGTAAAGGTTCATCGCAGGCAAAACATGTTGAACTTAAAAGAAAAAATTTTTTTATTAAAGAAAAATTTTTTTTAATAGAAGAAAAAGTTGAGGGAAGATCTTGGACCGAGCTTTCAAAAATTTTCCTCGGTCGGGTTTCGTATTTCGAGTCGGAAAAATACCGAGTTTTAAGCATTTGAGTTTCGGATACCCCGTCCCATCCCTGATAGGCATTGAATAATGAAAAAAAATTTTTCTAAAAATGTTTCGGAATTAAAAAAGGAGAATCCCCTGACCTTTGAAAAAATTATAAAAGAAAACCCTTCAATCGGTGTAGACTCCACAAATGCTGGCAAAGGTTCCAAATGTTGATGAGCACGTGCTAATTGTGGTGCAGTTAATAATAAAAGGCCTTAAAATTATTTTTTTTGATTATATGAAAATTAAAAAAAATTTTTTGGCAGTTCGAAAAATTTTTTTCTTGCTTCAAAAAAATTAAAAAAAAACCACCAACCACAAACACGACAAGTTGTAGGAGTTTGACAATAATGAGAACCACATTGCGGGCAAATATAAGCATATTCATTTTGCTTTAAAAAATAAAATAAATTTATTAAAAAAAATAAATTTAAAAAAATACACTTTTGAAAGGTCTAAAGCATCACCAGCCAATTCATGACTAAAAATATTTTTTTTTAATTTGTGAAGATTAATTTTTGAAATTTAAATAAATTAATAATTAAAAAAAATCGATGTGGAAAGGTTACATGAATTAAAAAAAAAATTTTTTCCTAAACTCTTTTCAAGTTTTTTAAGACCAAACAGAACTGTGTCAAAATTTAAAAAAAAAACTTGAGGTTAGTTTTGTTCGATTAAAAAAAATTTATTTTTCAAATTTTAAACAGAACTTTCCCTTCCTTTCGACTTAAAAACAAGAAATATTGAAAAAAAAAGAAAACAAAAGTAATTTTGTCTTCATTTTTTAAAAAACACATTTTAGTCGAAAGAATAAAGTAACCATTTAAAGTCATAAATTTAAGGAAAATAAAATTTATTTTAATTTTACCAAGCACAAAAAGAAGGAATTTTCTTCGCCTTTTTAATTGGAAACCCCATTTTTACAATACTATCTTGATGTCCTTGTTTTGGTTTGAGAGGTGGAGGTTGTAAATGTTCAGTAAGTAAAAGGTCAAAATGTTCCTTGTCTAAAGCTATTCCATACTTTCCTTTAAAAAAAGGAAAAATTTTTTGAAAATTCTTCAAAAATTTTTTAAGAAATTTTTGAAGAATTTAAAAAAAATTTCAAAATTTTCAAAAAAAAATTTTTTCAAAAAATTTTTTTCAGAAAATTTTTTTAAAAATTTTCTGAAAAATTTTTTTTCGATGAAGAAAAAAATTACCTTGTGTAGTAACACAAAGTTTTTTAAAAGCATAAACTTCAGCCAAAAAAGAAATTATTGAACAACGAACAGATTGCATTTTTAATTGCTTAAAAATTAAAATTTTTTTAATTATTTTTTTTTCTTAAAAGGAATTCCGTGGACTTAAGTCAGACTAGTTTTAAAGGGATTTTAAGATGTTAAAGGATTCTTAGGTCGAGGACTACAAGCTTGTCGGAGCAACAGGATAAATAAATTAATAAAGGAACTAATAAAAGAACTAATAAGGAACTAATAAATTTATAGTCGGAACAGCAGGAACTCTAAAAATTATAATTAGCCCAACTGTTGAGAAAAATTAAAAAAATGAAGCTATCTATATAAAAAAAAGACTATCTCTACCTTGATCCATCTCCACCCCTCAAAAATGGATAAATTTAAAAAAAACCTCATAAATTTGTTTTAAACTAGAAGCATCAATAGTACTCAAACTTGCAACAATAAAAATACATTCTTTGCTTGTGTGGGCAGGGACATTTCTTTTTTCAAAAAAAAATAAATTTTTAAAAAATTTAAAAAAAAACCTAAAATGATTTAAAGCAGTTTCCAGCATTGAATGTAAAGAAAATTCTGTTCCACCACAAGATGCTTCATTGAGAGAATTAAATGCTTCAGTCAATTTTTGAAGACTACCTTAAAACAGAATGTGGTTAGAAATGGGAAAATCCCAAAAATGTTGGGAAAAATTTACGAGGGAAAAAACGTTGGGAATGGAATTTATTGAACTTGACAAGACTTGTGGATCTAGTTTCGAGGATTTGATAACCAGGAAAAAGGGCACCCAAATAAATTTACCAAAAATTAGTAAAGTTTAAAGAATGAGTCCGCAAGCGTCGACTAAACGCCTTCAAGCCAAAAAAAGTATAAAGGAAATCACGAGAGGTTATAAGAATTTGAAAAAAATTCCCAAAATAGTTAGTAAAAAGAGATCCTAGACCAAATATAAGTATTCAGGAAAAAAAATGAAAAAACTCATGACTTAAAGTAGAGGTAGGCGCAGGACAGGATCCTGGAAATGCGATTTTACCGATCTCTAATTTCAAGAAACCCCAAAAGTAGGGTAAAAATGGCATGAATTTCTCGTCCATCCCAAAAAATAAACTTAATTTTTGATTTTGCCATTTTTTCGAGAATAAATACCAACAAAGACCAAGTGATTTTATTCAGTCAAAGAGTCAAAAATCAATTCCCTCACTGATAAATTAAAAAAAATATTTAAAATACTTGAAAATCCACAAGAGCAATCGCCTTTCTTGTCACGTCCAATTATTAGACCCATCTTAAAAAATTGAAAAAAAATCTTTAAAAGTTTACCAAAAAAACTTACAGCAGACAGAGGATTGAGCTCAAAAAATTTATTTACAAAATTTAATAGACATTCCCTCACAACTCGTAATCTACTAGGTTCAACATCTTTTGAAAGGATCGATGTTGAAAGATCAATACCAACAAAGACATGTCTCATCTTGAAATTAAAAAATTTTCTTGGTAAAATTTTGAAGAGTAAAATGGACACTAGGCAGTAGTGATGCTCGGGAGAAGAAAATACCCGGGAATCGGGAAACGGGAGTCGGGTCGGGATATGACCTCGGGAGTCGGGAATTACCAATAAAAAAAATTTTGGCGCCTTCGGCGCCAAAAATTCTGATTTTTTTACACCGCAAGCGAAAATATTGAGATTTTGTAGGGAAATAAGTCAGATTTCTTCCATTTTTAGCGCTGCAGGCAAAATTTTTTGAATTTTGGAGGTGAAAAATAATCCTAAATTTAAATTGTTCTCACGAGAAAGAAAAACGAAAAATAATGAGATTAATCATCTTCATCGTCCCAGACTCTCGGATAAGGTTATCGGATAGTCGGATAGTCTTTTCGGATATCCAAATCCGATATCCGAACCGAAAATTTAGGATACTCGTGTCCGAAACAGAAGTTTATATTTTAAAAATTTATGACTGTGGCACTGAAAATTTGAGTCCATTTGAGTGAAATAGAGGAAAAGAGAGTGAAATAGAGAAAAATATTTTCTGCGTTCAATTTTGGTGGAATTTTGGTGATTTAGCCCCATATCTCTTCATATCCCCTCTATCAATATTAACACCCCCCCATGAAACATTAATCACACAAATCCATTGATATCTCTCATTGATATCTCTATTTATTACTACAAATCCCTCGTTATCTCTTCAAATTCTCTATAATCCTAGTAAATCACCGAAATCTATACTTTTCCATTTCTAGCGCTGCAAGCGAAAAGTTTAAAATTTTGGAAGACCAAAAAGCCAGATTTCTTTCATTTTCAGCGCCGCAGGCGAAAATTTTGGGAATTTTGAAGACTAATTGTAAGAGGCCAGATTTCTTCATTTTTTGCGCGGCAGCGAAAAATAAAAATATAATTTTATCAGAAAAAGCCATTCTTAGGGGTGTAAAAATTTCCCGACTTAGTCGGGAATTGACACCGGGAGTCGGGATCGGGAGGCCAAAAACTCGGGAAATTTTCCCGAGTCGGGAGTCGGGATACCCGAGCATCACTACTAGGCAGGGAGAAAGACTATAAAACCCAAAAATTAAAATCAGAACGAAAAATCAAAAAAAAATTTTTGTAAAATCAAAGAGATGAAGGGAAATGGTTAGAAAAGGAAGAGGAACCTAAAAAAATAGAAATCAGAATAAGAAAAATTTCTAATAAAATCAGAAGGTAAGGAGAACATAGAAACCCCGAGAATTAAAATCAGAACAAAAAATCGAAATGAAAAATCAGAAAAATTCTGGTAAACAAAAAAACTGGCTAGTAAATCTGAAATGGAAAACGAAACAGAATAAAATTAGAAAAATTCTGATGAAATCAGAAAGGAAGGGGGAACCCCATAGAAATAAAAAAAACAAACCCTGAATAAAAATCAGAACAAATTCTGGTCAGCAACCCCCCCCCCCCCCAAAAAAAATTAAAAAAAACCATTCCAAGACGTATTCTAGTCGGTCTTCCTTCATTTCTTCTAAGTCTCTTTTCTTCAGAAATGATTCGTCGAATTGCATTTTCCATGGAACCATTTTCATCTTCTTGAAGTGCAGATTGTATACAAATATCTTTAAAATTTATTTTTAAAAAATTTTTAATTAAGAAAATAAAAAAACCGTCAGTATAAGCCTCTTCCCATTTAAATGGATCTGTAGTCATTTTTCTTTCAAAATTAACTAAAAAAAAGAAAATATAGGTTCATAAATTGATTAAAAGTTACTTTTACAAGTCTGAATAAGGACTAGAGATTGAAACGGGTCCGGGAATCCGAACCCGTTTGCCGGTTTCGGGTCCCTTTTCCCGGTTTTTTTTGAAACAACCGGGATAACCCGGGAACGGGAATTCCCGGTCCGGGTCCCTCCCGGTCAACCTTCAGAACCCGTTTCCCGGTTCCCGGACCCGGTTTTTTCAAAATTCCGATCTCTAATAAGGACTCACAAACTATCCTTGAGACTAACAATAAATTTTACAACTAACTAAAAATTATTTAAAGAAAAAGTTTTTGGCACTAAAATAATTTTTGGCGTTTTGTTTTAGATACCATTAGAGTCTGAAAATTTAAATGGTTTTTGGGCAGAGATCGGCAAAATCGCATTTCCGGGATCCAGTAACGGGATTGAGTTTGAAAAAACTGAACGGGAGGGATCCCGCGGGATTAATCCCGGTAATCCCGCTCATTGTTAATAACTCGGGATTTTGGGACGGGATCCCGTAAAATCCCGCCCTTGTCGCACTCTGTGGAGCTTTCCAAAATGGGGGTTTTTTTTGGAATTTTTGTTCTGAATTTTAGCATGTATTTTTATTAATTTTTTTACTAGATTTCTTAAAACCCATTAAAATTTAAAAAAAATAAAATGTCATCAGATTCTGAATTATGGAAAAAAGCGTCAGAGGCCTTTAAATCTATCGACATTCAAAAATATTTAAATGTGGAAGAACGCCAACTTAAAATTTATGAGACGGCTGAAGGGACTCTGTTTAATCAAGAAGTTATTGAAAAGTCTGTTTTTTTCTTTTGGGGTATTTGGGGCAAAATTCATGGAATTTCCAGTCAAATTTTCTATTCAAAATCTGGCTGAATCTTTAACCGTCTTGGGCTCTAAGTTTAACATTGTTTTCTATTTTCTATTCGGAAAATACTTTCTAATTATCAGAATTGTCATTCCATTAAGTCTGATGTAGGGACAATTCTGACAATGAGAAAATTTCCATTTTTTGCGGACTATTTTTGCGGATTCATTTAATCAGTACTGCTCTATGGGTTTTTACTTTTCCATTTCTTGTGAAAGGAAAAAAGTCTGAAAATGACTTACTTTTGGTGTCATTTTCATACTAGATAGAGTTATTCAATAAATTGATTTTTTGTGGGAATGGCATGGGGAGTTTTGGCAACCTTTTTTGTCATAAAATTAATTTAGAAGGTACTTGTGAGTCATCTCATACCAGTTCTTGTGGACACTTTTTGCGACTCATTCATATGTACAAAATGGTCTGACTTATCCTAATATAAATTCATTCTATTTCCTGTGGCCTTAACTGTGAGAATAGTCCGTCCGCAAAAAATGTCCGCAATACCTTTTTAGAATTTTGTTTTATTTTCCGTCTTTCAAAAAAATTTTTTTCATTCTTCATAGAAATGCAGATATAATAGAAATTCCAAAAAATATCAAAAGAGATTATTCTTTTGCATCATACAAAGACCAACTGGCCGATTTACAATTACGAAAAGAAATTGCTGATAAAAATAGAAAAGCTGGAATATTAACTGAAAAGCAGAAGAAAGCTGTTGAATTGGAACTTAAAAATGAGGAGGTTTTTTTGAAATTTTTGGAGAATTTTTAAAAAATTTAATTTTTAGGAGATTCGTAAGTCGCTTAAACAATTGCATGATTTATTCGAAGGAAAAGTCAAATTACTTTTTATGGCTTGTAAAAAGGAACCTCAGGTTTGTTTGTTTATTTTTGGGGTTTTTGGTTGGGAAATTAATTTTAAAAAATTTTTTTGGATTTTTTTCAAAATAATTTTTTAGACATGGGCACTAGACCTGGCTTAAATTTATTTAAAAAAATTTTTAGGAATTTTTTGAAATTTTTTTTCTGAAAAAATTTTTTAAAGGGATTGACCAAAATTCATTAGAAAAAATTTTTCGCAATTTTTCGAAGTTTTCTTTTGAAAATTTTTTTTAATGATTGCCACTAGACTTGACCTCGATCTATAAAATTTTTTTCTTTTTCAGTTTGCTTTCACCTATATAAATATATTTTATGATTATATTGTTCCTTTAATCAAGTCTCCTTTGGTTGCTAAAATTGCTGTTAGAGGCTATCTTTCTTATAGAGATGCTATTTTTGAAGTGACTTCTGATGATCTTTGTAAGGTTTTTTTGTTATTAGAATAAAATTGGAAAATTAATTGTTTTATCAAAAAATTTTTTTTGGAAATATTTTTAGAAAATGAATGACAGGGACGAGAATTTAAAAGATAACATACAAATTTAAGAGTTTTAAAAAAACTCGTCCAACAAACCTGCATTTTTTGTATAGGGCAGAATTAGTGTTTGGATCTTTTATTGAAATTGGTATTCTTAACCACGTTCAATAAAAATAGCCAGGTCCAAATACAAAGGAAAAATAAGGCACTAACAATAAATACGAATAGGAACAAATTTTTACATTTCCAAACAAATAGACGCTTTCCTTTAACATCCATAAAATTTTTTTAAATTTTAAATTAATTAGACAAATAATTTAAAAATTAATTTTTAAGACAAATTAATTTCCCATGCAACATTACGAGTTTTGGATTCAAAATTTTTAATGGATCATTGGTGTGAAATTTCAATGGAAGAACAAATACGTCAATCATTTCATTTACTTTCGTCCTCATGTTTTTTATATTTAAATTTATTGGAAGAAGAGGAGGAGGGGGAGGGAAATGAAAATTTGGAGGAGGAAGATGAAATTGAAATTAAAATAACTTCAGCAAAATTAGCCTTCTTATTACCCTTCTTTGAACAATTTTTAAAGAAAACACCAGAAAAGTTTGATGTTGATTTGAGAATTAAAGTTGCAAAGTTTTTACAAAATGCGGTCAATAATAAATTTATTAAGGTAAATTAAATAATTAAATTCTGATTTAAAATACAAATTTTTTGTATTTTGGTGTTTTTCTGGTTTGATTGAAGAAAATACAAAACTTCCGGAAAAAGAAAAACACAAAAATTCTGATTTTATTAAATACAAACAAACTTTCCGGAAAACATTTTATTTTCTTTTATTTTTTTTCCGGAGAATACATTTTGTATTTCTACTAACACTAAATAAAAATACATCATTAAAAAATACAACGTTTCCGGAAATATTAAACACAAAAATTTTTCCGGATTCTTAAAAGAAAATACAGCAATAATTCTGATTTTATTAGTTGTGTTTTCCGGAAGCAAATAAAATTAGAATTTTTGTGTATTTTCTTCTATTTCTTTCCGAAAAATACATTTTTTATTTCTGCTATATAAAAATACAATACTTAAAACACAATTTTTCCGGAAGATATTAAACACAAAATTTTTCGGATTTTAAAAATAAAATACAACAATAATTCTGATTTTATTAAATGTATTTTTCGGAAAGAAATAAAATAAGAATAAATTGTGTTCCGGAAAGTTTAGTTAGTGTATTGAATAAAATCAGAATTTCTTGTGTTTTTTTTTATTTTTTTGGAAAATACATTTTTTTCTTTTAGACAAATAAAAATACACATTTTAAATTCTGATTTTAAAATTCTGATTTATATACACAACAAAAATATTCCGGAAAACACTTAATTTATTTTTTTCCGGAAAATGCATTTTATATTGATAGATATCGAATAGCTTTCCGGAAAATGGGACACGACTTTTTAAAAAAATACACAAAAATTCCTGATTCTATTAATTGTGTTTTCCGTAAACACATTCTGATATTCCGATAAACGGGCGGCGTTGGACTCCGCCACAACTGGGGCGCGCCTCTTTAAAACTCCAAATAAAAGAGCTCTTTTTAATAAAATTTATTTAAATAAAAATGTGTGAAACAAAATTGGGGGGAGGGGGATGGAGAGCCGGCCAAAGGTTCTCGAAACTAAAAACTAAGACTGAACTTATTTGGCCAGTTTTCCATCCCCTTAAATAAGGCTAAAAAAAGGTGTGACACACATAGTAAGACAAAAATAAATTTTTATTCCCGGAAAGTGTTTTTTCTTTAATTTCTTTCCGGAAAATACATTTTTATTTTGCTAAATACAATAAAAATACATTTATTAACAGAAAAATTTCTCTAAATTAATTAAAAGAATTTTTTTTTTTAAATTAATTTTTTTTTAATTAATTTTTTTCTATTTTAATTTTTAAAATTTTAGCCAGAAGAATTAACTTCACCTCCACTATTAAAATTAGCTTCGCTTCTAGTTGACTGTATTTGTTTGGATTCATCAATTGAGTATATTAATGATTTAAAAACAACTTTAAATCAATTTTTGGACATGTTTAATTCAAATAAAGAGTTGACAAATACAAAAGATGTTGAATTGATTAATTTTTTTAAAAATATTAATTCACATATTTTTGATGATAATGTGTTGAAAAGAATTGCGATTTTAAAGGTTTTTTTTTAAATTTTTTATTTATTTAGAAAAAATAGAGAATTAAAAATAAATTAGGATTTTTTTGAACTAATGGAGAAACACAAAAGTTTTTCTGAAAACTAGAGCGCGGAACGTACCGTACTACGGCCGTATTTTATCGGTATTTATCGGTATTCCGTATCGGTAATACGGTACGGAACGAAATTCCGCGCTCTACTGAAAATTACTGATTTTAATTTTTCCGGAAACCGCAAATATTCTGATTTTTAATAAGAAATACGTTTATAATAATAGTAAAAGCTTCCGGAAAAAATTATTTACTTACTTCGATTATTCGAAAATACACAATTATTCTGATTTTTCTCCTAAAAATATTTTTGTGCTAATTTTTAATCCAAAAATGGATTTTATAATAAAATAAAAAATACCAGAATTATTTTGATTAATAAAGTTCTTATGAGTAAAATGATAGTTAAATTATTAAATTTTTTTTGTATTTAATTTTTAACTTTTTTTTTTAAATTTAATTTAATTTTCATTTTTTTCAAGGCAATAAATTCAATATCACCATTATTAAAGCTAACATTTGAAAACAACAAAGAATTATTTCAATCATTTATTCGTGATATTTATTTATCTAAACATGATTCAAATTTGGAATGTTCACAAAATGCTTGTAATTGTTGGGAAAATTTGGAATTTAATTTGTCTCCAACATTTTACAAGACATTACTTTTATATTTACATGATGATAAAAAATTGAAAACGGAAGATGCTGGAAAATCAATGCAAAGTTTGGCTAATTTATTCCCTTTAGAAGTTGATGGAATGCTTAAACAAATGGGAATACTTTATAAACAATTTGAGAAGGTTTTTTTTGAATTTTTTTTTTGGGGGAAAATTAAAAAAATTGGTATTGAAAAGGTGAGGGTTATTTAGTTTGGAGGACAATTTTGTTGACAAATTGTTCGTCCAAGGGCTTTGAACTACAAAGACCCGTTAACTTAAAGAAAAAAATGCTGTTTGAAATTCAAATTTATTTTTTTTCGGAAAATAAAAAAAAATTAAAAAAATTTTTTTATTGAAAACGTGAAACCCCATTTTAGCCCCCTCCTCCCAAAATCGACACCTTGATTACGCCATTGAGTTTGTATGCGGGAATACTTAAAGTTTTGGTGAGTCCCTTATGTCCAAAGGCTCTGAACTCCATAGACCCGTGGAGTTGAATTATACTGTTAATATTTGGTCATATTATTTGCCTGATGGTTTAAAAAGATACTTTGGGAGTAGATATTTTATAAAAATATAGAATTTTCAAGAATTTATTTTTTTCTTTCAGTTTCAACCAGCTCAATTTGACTCTGTAGGACGCAAAATAAAAGAAGAGTCTGATCCTTATGAAAAAAGAGAAGGAATTGCAACTGGTATTTTTTAAATTTTATTTTTAATAACTAATCTGAATTTTTTTAGGTATTTTTTTAATAACCGATTCACTTGTCTCTCCTCAACAAATTATGTCTCTTTTACACTTGGTAGTCCCAGATGGTTTAAATGATAGAGCTGAAACTTGTAGAAATTTAATGAGAAATGCTGCAGCAAAAGCTATTCAAAATGTTTCTAGTTTTTTTTTAGTTTTTTTTTGAAAATTTTTTTTGAAAAATTATTTTTCTAGCATGGCTCTGTAATGGTTGACACACTTTTTCCTTTTATTGAAGAACAACTCAATAAATTAACGAAGGAGGCAAAAAATGATAATTTAAGACAAGGACTGGTTGTATTAATTGGAACGTTAGCTCAATATTTGAAAGAAGACAATGCAAAAGTACGAAAAATTGTTGCGAGATTAATTGAAGCTCTTTCTACTCCGTCTCAACAGGTTTTTATTTTCTTATAAAAAATGTATACTCACACATTGAACTGATGTGAGTAATAGGGGAAGGTGTCCAATAAATTAAAATTAGCGTCAAAGTTTTGGCTTTTACTTGGCGCTTTGTACGCAAATTTTTTTGAGCCTATATTTTATTCTTTCAGCGCCGCTGCCGAAGATTTTTGAGGAGGTCGTAGGCGCAAAAACTTTCCTTTTCCCTCATTTCTTATGGAGAATGGGGGAAAAAGACTTCCCCCTCATTTGTCAGCCCTAAAAAAGGCTTTAGCTCCTCAGCCCCACTGGATAATCTTAGCCCCAATTCATGGGATGCCTCTCAAGGGGATTTCAAAATGATGGTAAGGTTCGGCTTGTAATAATTTTGAATTTTTAAATAATAAACTAGTCTTCAAACGCATTTTCTTTTGTATAGGTCCAAGAATCAGTTGCTGGATGTCTTCCAGCACTTATCCCATCCCTAAAAAATGATGCAAGTTCACTCATTGAGAATATGTTTATGTTACTTACAAGTGCTGAAAGTTATGGAGAACGAAGAGGTGCTGCTTATGGAATTGGAAGTATAATAAAAGGACTTGGAGTTGCTTCAATTAAACAAATGAATATAAATTCGAGATTAAAAGATATGCTGGCACAGAAACAAAAACCTTTGTTTAGGGAAGGTGCTCTTCTTTGTATTGAAATTCTCTGCAGGTTTGAAAAAATTTTTATGATTTTAAAATTGGTTTATCGGTTGTGTGGAGGAGGGTATCTGACATTTTAATTGACCGTCTAGAAATTTTTTTGTCATTTTGTGTCTTCTGTTTTTTGGATGGACTCTTAAACTCACATAAATATTGTGAACTCTTATAATAGGAGTTTATCAAAACATCCAGCTAAATCTTAATTTAAATTTT